TTGAAGATTGCGTGGATTTTGTTGAATTTAGGCCTTATTAATCGTTTTTGAGAATGTTGCCGGTGACGGGAACCCGATGGCGGCACAGTTTTGGAAATGTTTCGACCAGACCTACCGATGGGGCGAATAAAAATTTTTAGTCGGTCGATCCCCTTTTTTGAAGATTGAGTGGATTTTGTTGAATTTAGGCCTATTTTATCGTTTTTGAGGATGTTGCCGGTGACGGGGACCCGATTGCGGCACAGTTTCGGAAATGTCTCGACCAGACCTACTGATAGGGCGAATAAAAATTTTTAGTCGGTCGGTCCCCTTTTTTGAAGATTGAGTGGATTTTGTTGAATTTAGGCCTATTTAATCGTTTTTTGAGGATGTTGCCAGTGACGGAGACCGGATTGCGGTACAGATTCGGAAATGTCTCGACCAGACCTACCGATGGGGCGAATAAAAATTTTTAGTCGGTCGGTCCCCTTTTTTGAAGATTGAGTAGGTTTGCTCGGAAACGGTGAGAAATTTGTTCCCCTTTTTTGAAGATAAAGTAGGTTTGCTCGGAAACGGTAAGGAATTTTCAACTTTTGGGATTTTTCCCAATCTAACCATAAAATTTGGAATCGAATGGAAAAAACCGCAAGTCTCTACGACCACTCCTTGACCCCAAACATTTCTATGAGTGAGTGAGTGAGTCAGTCAGTCAGTCGGATTGGGGCTATATAGGTTCTTGATGTGAACAAAATGATTCTTCACCTTAAAATTTCTGTTGAGATTTCTAATTTTGCTGTTTTGGTTGCTGAGTTATCCCGAGTTGAATGGGCCAAGTCAAAGTGTCACTTCGTACCCCACGTAGTACACTATGTGACAGCCTTAGTGCACCATGTGACAGTGGCCTTTTGTCAGGGTTTAAATCCTATTCAGCGTACCTATACGCAAAGAATGAATGAAGAAGTCTTCCAGCTTTTTAATTCCGTTGAGTTTATCAATTTATCATCTTTGGTTCCCGAGCAATGAAGGTTTTAGTTATTAGTGTACAAATGTCATGGGCTGGACACATTCAACTGAGTGAATCGTGGAATCCCATAGCGAATGACAGTAGTGTTACATGGTGCCGAGATCAGCAGTTTTAGGGGAAACAGCAATAACGCTCAAAGTTTATGCCGTAGAGAATCGTGCCAAAGCTTATTTTGCGCTTAAAACATCAAAGAAGAACATCTTGCAGAGCATATGTCCTTAAAATGTATTTTAAAGGTAAAAAGCGAACGCGGCGGGAAATAGAAAAAGTTTCTAATGAGCTATTTTAAGACTATTTCCAATTCTGATCGCTACCATTCCCGTCCTTTTCGAAGGAGAGTCGCGACCTACTGCACGTCGATTCTCCTTCATGATACCTTCCTTTGAGTCTTCTTACCGCTGTTGGATAGCAAGCCGTTTGGGAGAAAAAGCCAAAGTCACATGGTGGCCGTGTCACATGGTACCCCACCTTCCCTTACAAAACGCGTACTTTGCACTGTACAGCAGTTCCAAATGAGGATTCAACTGTTCTGCTCTCGTGAACTTATAATTCAGTCCCTTCCTGATGAAATGGATCACTTTTCAATGATCGTAGTCCCCCACTTTACGTACAACATGCCAAAATGTATGTGATTTCGGCACTTCTCGAATAGGGTAAGAAAAGTACACCACGGGGAAAGAAAAGTACAACGAAAATAATTGCGATTTCGATCCAGAAGAGCCCCAATCTTGGCTCAATACAGGTTTACCCCTAAAGTGGAGAGTTTTCACTTGCCATTGGTTCAAGTTTCGTCAAAATCGGTCAATTGGTTCTGATTCTACATGGACTCGCATTATAGAAGGTCCAAGAAGCCCTTTAACAGATGTAAGTGGGTGCAGCATTTTTGAACTTTTCTTCCTCTTTTCACGTAAATGCCCAATAACTTGTTTATTTCGAGTCCAATCATACAACATGTGTTGCCATTTTTTGCTTGTCTCGCCTTATAAAAATCTGTTTCCGCGATCCATTCAATATTCATCCCGCTTAAAGTTTTTTACAGGGTGTTTTTATCTTCCCCTATGACTGAGCTTTTCTTCCCCAGCTGACTGTTCTTTTCATCCGTTTCATTGTTACACTTCTAAAAATTTGTGTTTAAGCCGAAGAGCATCGAACGGCACTGTTTTTCAAAGATGATTGTCTAAGCTATAAGGTGGTACCTTACATTGGACTGTCGGCTGATTCTGCAGGAAGCTGTACTTCAAAGTACAAACAGTTCAAAAAAAGATTTTCATAGTCACTTTTAGTGTTTTTTTTTCAACCGTGCAGTTTGATTCTAAAAATTATACGTAGAACTGGGCTAAATTTATTTTATGTCTGCGGGATGACCAAGCTTTCTATAACCACTAAAGTGATGGTACAGAGTAGTTTCAGTTCGGAGATATTGCAAGTGTTCTTTTCTTACCCGAGCCCCGAGTGTACTTTTCTTAACCAACCTACCCCTACACTCTTACGAGATGCTCAGATCCTGGAAATATATTCAGTTGAGCACACGCTCGTGGGAGTGTGCTCGTGAGCACACGCTGAAGAAAGTGTACTCGTGAGTACACGCTGAAGAGACTGTAAGCTGAGTACACTGTTGAGTTTGCTGAGCGTACATGATGCGGTGTTTGGCCCGTCCTGCATCAGGTGTCATAAAAAGCCACGAGCGAAACGCACAGAACGCTCTGTGGGCCAGAAGAACGCTGGCGGTGCGTCAGGGATGGTTGGGCAAGGGCCTCCATAGGAAAAAAGGAAATGCTGATCTAGGTAGAATACGCTCGCGGCGTTTGGCTTGGCCGCGAGTCGTCAGTCGTAGGCTGCGCTCGACAGCGGCAGCAGGGCCATTCTTTGTCAGACCATCGAACCCCTAAAATGACCCATGTCAGATTCCAATTTTTTTGGTCTTGGGTGATGGGGACCGACCCCCTAAGTACCCAAGCCAATGGGTTTTCAAAAATATCAAGCGGTTTGGATTCCACAGCCATTTTAGTTTTTAGGTTTTTGAAATGTTTTAATTTGACGTAAGGGTGGTGATTTTGTTTTTGGGGAGTCCGATGATGGTTTTTGCCTATCGTTTCCTTTCAGATGAGTCAAAAGAAGAATTTAAGTGGGTTTTGGACCCTCTCGCTACAATGTCAGGTTTGCATAGTAATTAAAAGTTAGCAAAAGTAGTGAAATAACTGAAACTTTGCTCTACTGAAAATACGTTGTCATCGATTTTGACCGTTCCCTGGTCAAAGGAGGGTGTTTATGGGTCGAACAAACTCCAAGAATAAAAAGGTGGGTTTTCGCACTCCTTGACTTTTATTAGGGCCAAAAACTATATTTTCCTCACTGTAAAATTTCACTGAAATAGCCGATATTTTATCCAGTCCTCCTCATCCGACTCGTATGAGGTTTGTATGGTCCAAATACCCAGGAATGCAAATAATTTGGATAAAAGAGGAGCTCCAACACCTAAAAAGCAGTTTGAATAGAACATGAAGGTGTATTATCAACTTGTTAATTGTGTGTTGTGTATGACTAATTTTTAACCATTAAACCTTCCATAAAATTGATTTGTACCTTCATAGATGGTGTTGGAGCACCTCTTTTATCCAAATTATTTGCATTCCTGGGTATTTGGACCATACAAACCTCATACGAGTCGGATGAGGAGGACAGGATAAAATATCGGCTATTTCAGTGAAATTTTACAGTGAGGAAAATATAGTTTTTGGCCCTAATAAAAGTCAAGGAGTGCGAAAACCCACCTTTTTATTCTTGGAGTTTGTTCGACCCATAAACACCCTCCTTTGACCAGGGAACGGTCAAAATCGATGACAACGTATTTTCAGTAGAGCAAAATTTTAGTTATTTCACTAAATTTTGCTAAATTTTAATTGCTATGCAAACCTGGCATTGTAGCGAGAGGGTCCAAAACCCACTTAAATTCTTCTTTTGACTCATCTGAAAGGAAACGATAGGCAAAAACCGTCATCGGACTCCCCCAAAACAAAATCACCACTTTTACGTCAAATTAACACATTTCAAAAACCTAATAACAGGAAAAGTAGCGATATACATCGGCAACTTTGGCCCGTCCCGTACATTAAGAAGCGTACGAATTGCGCCTATGTTTGACCCTGACGGGAATTCAACCTGAGTCTGGGGTTAAAATTAATGTCGTTTTCGTCATCAGCACCCTCAAAAACATCAGAAACAATACAAAAACTCGAATGAAAAGAAGGTAAAAAAAACCGCTGGGATTTGAACCCGGGTCCGAACTTCTCCGATTCGCTCGAAACTGGCACCATTGGTTTTTTCTCGTCGCCCTGATTCTAAAAATACCCCTACATCCCCTTCTAGCTGCATCCGTTGCCGAGATCCTCCTCGACCCCATGTAGACCATGATGCACCTGCAGCAGCGCCCCCGGAGCTCGGATCGGATTTGCTGCCACCGGGCGGTTCTTAAGGTCACTCAAGGAGGCTGCATACCAAATTTGGTCAAGATCGGACCGCGGGAAGTCCTCGGACGGACGGACGCACAGCAGGGATCATACTATATGCCCGTCCCTCCGTAATTTTTTTTACAAAAAATAAACGGGACGGGCCAAAAAAAATGGAATCTGAGATGGGTCATTTTAGGGGTTTGATGGTCTCACAAAGAATGGCCCAGCACCTTTCGGACCCAGCTTGATAAGTGAGGGGTGAACCAACCCCTACATACTGTGTTCTTCCTGCCATCAGTTCAGTCACATAGTCCTGAAACCCCTCGCCTTGCATCCCAACGCGGTGGTCACAATCCTGAGCTCCAGAGTCACTGAAGGGACAAGAACCGAACGTGTGACCACACCAATGGATTCCTCGCTCAGAGAACAATCTATTGGTGGTCACACGTTCGGTTCGAGTTCCACTTAGCGACTTTGAGCCTCAAAAGACGTTCGAGATATTGACCACCTCCACCGGCCCCTTTTGGAACGTCGGCGTCGGCCCTTACCGAATACGAGTCATTACTGCAGAGACCTCCAGCGCAGAGCTGCGACGGCAGAAGCCCCCTCGGCAGGGCTGCCCGGATCACGTCGTGACGAAGAAGGGCATCGGCGCAGTCACCAGGCTTGGATATGGTCAGATTCGTCAGCGGCAGATCGAAATGTGCGTCTTCCCCTGAAGGAGAATTTAAAGGCACCATCAGGATAACACTGTCATTTGCGTCATTTCAGCGTACCTGTCAGTCTTGGTGTTTCAAATTGAAAAGAGAGCAACATTACCATCGCAAAACAACAAGGGCGCTCTTTCACTCTACATCTCGTCCTTGACCGAACCCCACGAGCAGCCGAGGGGCAAATATTTCTCAAGGCGCACGACCTCCAAAATTAACATATCGTATCTCACCCAAAGTCAGTCGAACTGTTGCTTCGTGTGCCATGAACACTTCAGCCTCATAAAAATGTATTTACTTTTTAAAATGTTTTGAAATAGCTTAAAATTGCCCCCCCTTCCCCCATCCCGATACCTCCTAACATGCCCAACAGGTTGGAAAAACCTCATTATTTGCACATGTAAGCAGGCAAAAGGTGCTGCGTTCTCCCCTCTATATCACTGTGGCAAAAAAGTACGGAAAATTCTGTTAATTTTTTTGCCAGGATTCTCCGTAGCCCTCTTATCAATATTCTCCGTAGGCTCTTACAGTATTCTCCGTAGGGCCGCACAGTATTCTCCGTACGACCTGGAAGACTGTATAGTCCTAAGGAAAACACTGTGAGGTCCTACGGAGAATACTGTAAGAGCCTACGGAGAATATTGACAAGGGGGCTACGGAACGGAGGATTACCACAAGCTGTTTACAGAATTTTCCGTTGCTTTTTACCACAGTTTAGGTCCGCCACTGTTTGGAGTGCACCGAGCTGCACGGGAACTCACAGCTTCGCTGGATGTTCCATCCCGATGCTAGAGCCTGGGTCCCGGGCGCCACTAGCCCCAGCGCCGGCGTGTTGAGGCACAGCGGAAGGAAGTCCCGCAGATCAATGGACTGTCGCAGAATGACGACAGCAAGGTCGTCGTAGCCCTGTAACAACGTTAAAGTAGTTTCATAGCTAAGGGGCCTACGGTGAAAGGGTGTATATTTTTATACCAAACTGTTCACGAGAACCTCCGCTACACGTTGGTGTGTTCGAAAAGTATCGTTCATGCATTAGTTTGCAAGATATTTAGAGTTAAAGTTTGGGTATTTTTTGCTGAGCGAAGCGAAGCACCCTGTTGGGAAATTTAAACGTTCGAATTGTCCGCCTCCCCCCCGGATACCTTTAGTTTACCATAGGTATCTTATTATTGATCTTAATCTTCTACCTATATATGTATACATAGTCCGAGGTCAATAGTCCAAGGTCAATAGTCCAAGGTCAATAGTCCAAGGTCAATAGTCCAAGGTCAATAGTCCGAGATCAATACTCCGAGGTCAATAACAAGGTAGGTTTACGCCAGACCGCGTCTTGTCGTAACAGGCTTCGCGATGTTTCGCTGCCTGTTCCTCCAATCCGCGCCTGGCGTACCTTCCTTGGCCTGCGGCGCTAGCCTGCCTTCGGCAGGCAATAGCTTGTCCACCGTCGCTTACTTCTAACTTGTTGCATGCGGGGGGGCTCCGCCTCCAGACCCCCCTTCCTTCTAGGTAGAGTTGCTTCATCTACAGATAGCATGATCTTGACCCTTGTAACCTTTGAACTTATCGAGGCTGGGGGGCTCCGCTCCCCAGACCCCCCCATCTTCAAGACAATGGGCATCCTGCCTGCAGAAAACTCGATTTTTCGCCGTTTTTAGGTGTTTTTCGGCTATTAAAACTGAACCAGTTGAGCTACGATGGTGAGATTTCGCGTGTGCCGAGCCAAGGACATGCCTAAAAAGTGTGCAAAATCTCACCGAGATCGGCCGAGCCGTTCAGGAGGAGTAGTGCGGACAGACACACACACACACAGACAGACAGACAGACAGACAGACAGGAAAAACTTTTCAACCCCACTGGAGTAACAGGCTTCGCTATCGCTCAGCCAATAATTTTCAAAATAATCACTTCCTAATTGGCTGAGCGATAGCGAAGCCTGTTACTCCATTGGGGTTGAAAAGTTTTTTCTGTCCGTCTGTCCGTGTGTGTCCGCACTACTCCTCCTGAACGGCTCGGCCGATCTCGGTGAGATTTTGCACACTTCTTGGGGATGTCCTTGGCTCGGCACACGCGAAATTTCACCATCCTAGCTCAACTGGTTCAGTTTTTATAGCCGAAAAACACCTAAAACCGGCGAAAAATCGAGTTTTCTGCAGGCAGATCACTTCTGTCTTGAAGAAGGTGGGTCTGGGGGGCGGGGCCCCCCAGTATGCATCAAGTTAGAAGTAACCGACGATGGACAAGCCATTGCCTGCCGAAGGCAGGCTAGCGCCGCAGGTCAAGGTAGGTACGCCAGGCGCGGATTGGAGGAACAGACAGCGAGACATCGCGAAGCCTGTTACGACAAGACGCGGTCTGGCGTAAACCTACCTTGTTTACTACTGATGAAAATGCATTTCCATCTTCAGCAAAATCCAGCTCAGCAGCGAGACCGAAGGCCTTCCCCTGGCTAGTAACATGGGACCTTACGGGAGAGCCGCCCAAGGGCCCCGAAAATTTCATATCTTTCAGTTTGTATACGGTGAAAAGTATCCAAAAAACTAATCGGCGGGTTCATAATTTCATGAGGAACGCGACGGTGTAAATGAAAGTACTCCTTCATGTGCTTTTAAGAGAAATATTTGTATTTAAAGAGCCAAAAGCGGGTCCGATCGGCGGCAATGGCGCCGGGTCCTTCCGGTCGGCGCCGCAGCGCTAGTGGCGCGCGCACTCAAACCACTCGGACGGAATACAAGCTGCTATGTAATTATTTTTCAGCAATAACTTGACCAAGAGTCGTGGAACGTAAGAATGGATATTATATGGGGTTATTCCTAAAAGAGCAAGAGAAATTTGTGCTTCGGAAAGTCCATTAAATACGAAAGAGCGGGGCTACCTGGGACCGAGTAGCATTGCCAACCTGACGGCCTCAACTCGCAGTCTCTTCTGAAGACACAATATCTACACAAACAATGTGTTTTTGTACGTCAATTTTTATTTTCGCGATCTAAAACGTCTTGATAATTTGAGGGAATGATTTTGGCCGTCGTTAGACTGTCATAATATTTTTTACTAGCTCCGCCATTTTCGTGTTTGGAGGTTCTCGTCAGGACAAAACCTAGTCAAGTGCAGAACTTTTTCGCCTATATATAATTGCTATTTAATACATAATACAAAACAAAAAATTCTAAAAATGTTTTAAAGCCCAATAAAGTGGCTTTAGCACCAAGGTGCTTTTTGAAAAATAATTGCTGATTATTTTCAGTCGGTTTGTCAGTGGTAACAGTTGTGCACTTGACTAGACCCTTTAGCTATGAAACTACTTTAAGGGGGGGCCCTGGTGAAACTCTCAAGTAGGCTTTAAAATAATCCCAGAAAGTTGAAACTTTGCTTGATTAATAGGTTCATTATGGTGAGTTCATAAAACAAAATTCAATCCAAGATGTTGAACGGTCTCTGAGAAAAGTGGCTTTTTAGTGTTTTTTAGAGCGTTGGGGAAAAATCTTCCTGCGTCTTTCATTGGAACGGAAAGTCTTGAAAATTTTTTTGGGTTATCCTTAAGATGTATAGAAGAGATTTTAGTGACATAATTTTCAATTTCATCTTCTGTCCTGAGATATCAATTTTCAAATTTTAACATTTAAAAAAAGTGAATATTTTGCCTTTTTTTGAAACTTTCAGGTGTGTGTTAAAAAAAGTAGGGCTGATATCAAGATTCCGTCACTAATTTTTGTCGATAAGTCATCAATGAATAGAGTCCATGCAAGACGACTCATGTAGGTGTCAACCAGGAACGCAGGAAGTCTTTCTACGACAAAATTTTTTGTCGACTGAGCAAAGTTGTGAAGTTGAGCGTATAAGCCAACGACAACTGATCTCAATGTTATTTCTTTCCAAATGATGAAGGAACCACCCACATAGTTTAAAGGCGTTCAACCTGTTGAATCTGAAACCTTCTATGCACATTTTTATCTATGAACTTTGAAAATACTATTTTTGGCAATTTTGGTCATTTTTTCACCAGGGTCCCCCCTTAAAACCCTTTTAAGAGGACTTCAGATGGTCCCAAACCGAGCTACGCGGTTGCTCGTGACCTAGAAGTTGTGCATCGTTCAAACTTAACACGGCAAAAAGTGCGTAACAACACTGAAAATAGAAAGGTCAGACTTTTGACCGCTTAAACGGTCTTACTGAAATGTACGACCGAAAAAGGGTCATACTGAAATGCAAGACCGAAAAAAGGTCATACTTCGATGTATGACCGAAAAACGGTCATACTTTATAGTGTGTCACAGGAAAAGGCTGATATATCCCCAAGCTAAACAATAGCCAGTCTCGCTGATGTCTCACCTTTTTTTGGTCATACACTTAAGTATGACCGTTTTTCGGTCATACTTTTTGTATCACCGAAAATCGGTCAGATGTCTCACCCTTTGAATTTCAGTGTTAACGGAAGCATTTTGAGCGCCAAGAGTGGCCACGACAATGAGCATACGTTCGGTCGACAGGGAGCGAAGGAGTAGCAGAGCAAAATTAAATCAAACCTGGCAGAAAGCTCTCAGTCCGCAAAAATGAAAGAAAAATAAAAAAATAAATAAACAAAACCAGTTCTCTTGTTTAAATATTCACTCTTGAAGAAGCAAAAGTATTCAGAATCCCAGCGCGTGATTTTTCAGAGCATTTCCACTTGGAATGTTCAAAGTGCGTAACCAAATTCTGCTCTCGACCATATAATCAGAAATTTCTGAATTTGAAGCATCTCACCTGACCCGCTTTGTAGTTAGGGTGCACGTGCACGGACTCCACGTCCATGATCCATTCACCAGTGCAATCGCTGGGGAACCCAACCACAACTTTAGTAAGTGGCAGACTGCAAAATAAACCTAAGGTTAGTCCGTTGCCAGGTGTAAACAACGCGGCTCCGTCTTATGAGACTTATCTGAGAACGGATGAGTCATGATCAATTCCATATTTTGAGCGGGGTATATTTTATAACCCATGTTTGGGTGGAATATTTTAATGCCCATGGTGATGAGTTTCATAACCCAAAAGCGGTGATAAAATAATCCTTATCCGCATTTAGGTGATACAAACGAAATGTTCATGTAGAATTAAGTACCTGAAACTTGAACGATTTTAAACATGCGTGGAATTTGCGTGAAATGCACATTTTTGTGAAAAATTGAGCGCAACGTTATGAACAATGTCACATAGGTTTAAAATCATGCAAAAGCACGAACAAAAATTGTAAAGAAACATTGGGCGTGAACCTCACCCAAAATGTTGGTCCTCGTCATGACTCTTGCTAAGTAAACTGACCATCCTAGAGAGCTGCAGCGGCCAGCGGTGAGAACAGCGTTTGGGGATACGAGTGCACCGGCACACGTGAGTTGAATGTTGTACGTGGAGCTGCCGTACTGCATCGTCACCTGCAGTTGAGTTGCAATTGAGCACGAGTATTTGGAAACGCAACCAGAAAAAGCATTCTATCGCCGCAAGACCAGTAAAATGCTTCAAAATTACACACAGAACTTATGTGTGTACTCAGCACACTCAGACATGGAAAGGCATGCTTGTAAGCTCGCGGTGTGAGGCGCATGCTCGCCACAGTTAATTGCAGACAATTGCCTCTCAAAGCGTGCTTACCGAGCTAACACTTAGAATTCGAATACACACTTCGAGACGACGCGCATCGAATTGTGTGCCTGCAATCAAGCCCGGTGAAAACGGAACCTGGTTTTCCCAGGAACTCCCTCGAAATCGCCTATGCCGTCACCATTGGCTTCCTGAGAAAACCAGGTTCCGTTTAAACCGTGTGCGTTCCCATGAGGGTACTAAAGGCACACACAGGTTTTGTGTGTTTCTCTAGGATCAGGATCTTGTCATCAAAGCAAATGCAAACGCTGCCTAGTTAAGCTTCGATTCACAAAAAAAAAAAAAAAAAAAAAAAAAAAGTGACAAAGTATTGTCACGATTTTCAACAGTATGCCACGTCCATTCTTACGTTTGAACACAACACGATTCAATTTTAAACAAACGTGATGTCACGTTCCAGGAATGGGAGGCAACTCTAAGAACAAAGACAGTTTTGCTAAGGCGACTCGAAAGTTGGTCCACCCGTATCAGGGAACTTAGAACTTTTTGCACCCGAACAGGAAAGCGACATCGATGTTTTTTTTCGGGAAGGGCTAACGAGATCAGGAGATCGCCCCCTTATAATGAGAACCAATCAATTAGAGACATCGAGTCAATGGTGCTGGAGCACGAAGAGCAGTGGCCACTTTCAGTCGCTTTTGGTTGATGGCTCAGCTGGTGTGACTTCAGAAAACCAAAATTGAAGCTAGTCTGTGAACTCTTGCCGTTGTGTGACGTTTCCTCATGTCCCTGGCTGGGCTTGGTTTGAAGTGATGACAGGAAGTGTCCCTAGTCAGATCCGGTTTCGCTTGTTGGATATGTGGAGAATAGTTGGGGCAGAAATCGATGTGGTAAATTCGGCACACTGTAACAAAAGTGCACGAGGTAAGTTTAGTAAGAGGCATTTTTTTTTAAAGAAGTCCGGTCAAGGTACACGACTGACGCCGATTTCGCTCCTTTTTTGGTCAAAGGTGCGCCTTATAGGTCTGAAAAACGCCCAAAAGTTTTAGGTCCGAAAACTAAACGGTTTGGAAGATATGGCCAATTTTCGATTTCTCTGACAACTTTTTGGTATTTTTTGCTAAAATTGAAAATGTAATTTTTCTCGGCCGCTATTGTCTCTATTTGGCCCAAAATTTGGTTTCTACTGAAAAATCAGCCGGGGAACACACTGTAAAAAAAATTCTGAAATTTCAGTACAATTTGTTCAGACTTTGCAGTCTGAATCGGTAATTCAGAAAGTTGCTTTGAATTTTCAGACTAGGAACTCTGAAGTTTGAGATCACACCGGTTAGTCTGAATTTTAAGCAGAAGGTCTGAAAATTCTGATAAAGTTTTCAGACTTGTCATCCTGAAACCTGTTTTCATAATTTTGGTATGAAAATTTTGACAGATTGTCTACTAATCAAGTCTAGGCGTAAGGCGTTGTATAAATTTATCGGAAATAATAATGTACACCCGTGCTTCACGCAGATTCGTCTGTGTACGATAGATTAACCGTAAGAGTTGTCCGAACTTGCATTGCCGAAAGGAGCTGGTATCCTCTGAAGAGAGTCACGCGGCACGGCTGCCCCGGCCGCCAGGCAGCGCCCGTAGCGCAGTGGTACTGAGCTCGTCTCGTGACCAAAAAGTCCCGGTTCGAACCCGGGCCGAAGCGAACAAATGAAAAGTGGAAAGGAGGTACCGTCACACGTTGGTGGTTCATATTGTTCTCTTGTTGATTTCTTTCTCTTTGATTTATAGATGGCACTTTTATTTAATATTTCAGAGTAGCAGTCTGAAAATATTTTTCAGACAAGTAGTCTGAATTTGGAATTCAGACAGAATGGTCTGAATAATTACTCTGAATTTTCAGACCACTAGTCTGTTTAAAAACTTCAGACTAAAATTATGAAATTTCAGTAATACTTTTTTTACAGTGCAAGAATCTGGCCACCGTTTTTCAATCCGAGGCACGATAAAAACAAGCTAGGGCCCGCCCTTCCGTCGAACCGAGTTGCCAGCTCCGCTTCGCTGCGCCGGCAACTCGGTTCGACAGGGGACCGGCCCAGCTTGGCCTGCCGGCGGCCTTTCCTCGGGCCTGCGGCCCTCGCATCAGACCCAACTTGGCCAGTCGAAGGCCCGGGCCTTCGGCCCGCTCGCATCACACACACCGTGAGCGGGTAAAGCAAAGTTATCGATGTTCCATCGTGACTTAGGCCCGCCCTTCTATTCACAATATGCAATAGTCCTCACACTTTTTACTCAAACTGTCCTTAGAATATGCCCATTTCATTTGTCTCTTCGCCCTCATTCCGAAAATACCCATATTTGCTATGCTACTGCAACTCCTTGCAATAGAGGCACAGCAGGAGCGCAAAACGAGTCCGTCGCACTTTTTCCCATAACTCATGAAGGCGGGCTCCTGGACCCCCCTTCCGACCCCTCGTTGAAGAGGTCTTGCCAAGACCTATCGAAAACTTAAGTAAAAATTTTCAGTCGGTCGACCCTCTTTTTTAAAGATCCTGATGTGACTAATAGACGAAGTCGGGCTCCTGGACCTCGCTTCCGACCCCTCGTTGAAAAGGTCTTGCTGAGACCAATCGAGATCTGCAATAAATTTTTTTAGTCGGTCGACCCCCTTTTTTGAAGATCCTGATGTGACTAATAGACGAAGTCGGGCTCCTGGACTCCCTTTCCGACCCCTCGTTGAAAAGGTCTTGCTGAGACCAATCGAAATCTGCAATAATTTTTTTTAGTCGGTCGACCCCCTTTTTTGAAGATCCTGATCTGGCCAACTTGTAAAAGCGGCCGATGGGGTCGGAACCAGGTCCATTCATCTTGTCTCGTCACCCCGATTCCAAAAATACCCCTATGTGCCCTGCTAGCACCAATAATGGCGGAAATCCCCCTCCCGCTCATGTAAACCATGATGCACCTGCAGCAGCCCTTGTGCGACCCGGACGGGATTTGCACCACCGGATTATTTGTTTGGACGGTACTCCTGAAGTACCCTCCAAATCTGGTTACTCTAGCTCAACTCCTTCCTTGTACACAGACGCCAACAACAACAACAACAACAACAACACACAGACACAAAGGCAAATGCATAGGCCCTCCCCCTATTTTTTGAATAGAAGGGCAGGCCAAAAAGTTGTAACTGTTTTCCAACTTTTTAAGCATTTTATAAAAGTTTTGGGTTTTCGGTGTTCAAAATCGATTTTGACCTATCTGACCGATTGGGTGTCTGTATGAAGGGCCCATCTAACATATTCGACAAAAAAAGTTCGAGTACGCCGCAGGTTTCGGAAAACCACTCCTAAAGGCGAAAATCGCACTTTTTCCTCTAAAAAGCTCCCTTTAACGTCCCTCCCTTCGACTTTGGCCCTGCCAGACAGTGCCCCAGTGTGAGACGACGCTCTTCCTGCACTGTCACCACCGCCGAGGAAGCAGGCCCCGCGATTGAGCCCCTTGGAAGGTCGCGGAGTGGATGCATACACTGTATGGCGCCTGCGATTGCATGCAGGGTAGGCAAGCCCGCCACGCACCGCTGTGCGTCTGGCGGCCACCCTGTCGGGCGCTCGCTCCGGCAAGCGACCTGCGGTGCGGGCCTACCCGGGCTACCCGCGCCGGCCCAAGAGGGAGAAGGGGAGTGGTGGTGAGGGGGAGGGGGGAAGGGGCTGGAACAAGGCTGATGGAAGAATGAAATAACGTGCAAACTTGCCCCCTGTCTACAATCAAGCAATTGATTCGCATAGCCGTTCCTAGCCTTATCCCGAAGATCTCTGCCTCGCCAGTTAATGAAGCAGGCGATCTTTAGCTTTTCATTCTTTTCGGAATGCTTTTTGGGCATTCCCTGCGCTGACGGTACTGCCATGTGTGGAATATTTTCTCTTCTTATTTTTAATCCTAGCTTATGTTTAAACCACCTTGGAAAATTTATGCGTTCAGTGGTCTTGCATGCATTAACATAGATATTAACGTCCCCGTAATGATTTGATTGTAATACTAGGTTAAAGCCGTTTGCTTTTTTTCCCCCAGTGGTTGGTAGCCTTGTTGAGCAACTTGTAAACAATTTGGACTCACAGTAACCTATGTAAAGCTATGTTATGGTGGAGAAGCAAGATGATGATACTAATGGTAATACTTATAAAATAAAATAATTGTTGATGTTTTAACTTGTTCCTTTTTCTCTGTTAATTTTTGTTGTGGATTGATCCCTGTATGCTTGTTAACTTTGATTATCTACCAGGTGATCCACCAGGAGGTACTGCATCAGCAAGAATATGTTGCAACCTTTTTGGAATCCACAAACCTGCCAAACTGATTGTTAAACATCTGAGGCCATTGACTGACCAGCAACGTCCCACCTTGAGCTTACCAAGAGTCGATGATTGTTTATTTTGGTGTACCGCCTGTCGGAAGAAATTCCAAAGTCTTTTTGGTAATGTCAATAGCTTGCTTTATTTTGCCCTTCCCTTTAGTTCTTTCCAGTGTCGGGGTTTGTTGTCATGTCACTTTATTTTATTAAAGGTAGCGGTGCCCCTTGTATGCCTCCCACCTCTGACCTGGAGGACAAAAGAACCACACAGGGGACTGAGGCAGTGGTTTTATCTGCACTGAGTGCACAAAGGATGTAGCCTTGTTGGGATGCAGTGGAGAACGCAAGAGAAACAAACTGAATTAGTAACCCAAGTAGGTCAGCGTTCTGCTGTAGTGAAGACTGCAGCAGAAAAACTAGAGAAAATGAATCCTCATGAATCCATTGCGCGCAAGCAATCAAGTTAGGGGCCATCCATAAAGTACGTCCGCACTTTTTTCGGTCATTTGGACCCCCCCTCCCCCCTTGTCCGCTAACGTCCGCTTTCGGCGACCACCCCTACCCCTTTTGGACGTCCAATTTTACGAAAGTATTCCAAATTTCAACTACAAAGCGCTGTTTTGGGGGTAAACTGATTAAAAACGCGTGTTAAGTCACAAAAAGAAGCCTTCTGCGTTATTACAATATAGTCAGAAAATAAAAATAAAAATGACTAGGTTCCGTTTCCGTCGCCGCTGACATCGGCGCTGCGCGTAAAGACGGCGCAAATTGTCAAATTTTTCTTAATTTTCTTCGTATAATTGTAGGACGTCCGACCACTTTGGACCCCCCCTCCCTCTCACGTCCACCAACGTCCGCTTTTGGCCACCTCCCCCTCCCCCTTCGAGTGCGGACATACTTTATGGATGACCCCTTATTTTAAAGAATTGAAATCATCCATGCCCTCTAACAAAGTTGCAGTTTTGATGGATTTTGCAATGAATTTCTCTTGTGTGTTCCCAGAAGAAATCCAGTCATATCATTTCAGCACAAAGAAAATCACAATTCACCCAGTTGTGATCTCTCACCGTCCAGAAGGAAAAGAAGAGGCTGACTTCCACAATCTTTGCTTCATATCTGATGATTTAACTCATGATGTATTACTGGTTAAAACCTTCATCAGAAAAATGGTTGAATTCATCAAATACAAGGTAGGTTTACGCCAGACCGCGTCTTATCGTATCAGGCTTCGCGACGTCTCGCTGCCTGTTCCTCCAATCCGCGCCTGGCGTACCTACCTTGGCCTTTTCGGGAGTGTGCTTGAAGCACTCTCTACCCAGGAGCGTGCACAGTTAAAACTCTGCGAAGAATCGAGAGTGCACAATACGAAGAAAATGAAGGCATTGTAAAACCTACGAAGAAATGCTTCGTATTATGAAGCAAAATTCTTCGCAATACGAAGCATTTCTTCAAAATGCAAAGCAATTCTACAATGTTTTCATTATCCTTGTAGTATGAAGCAATTGCTTCGTAGGCTTTTTAGAGTGCACACGGTGAAACCGATGTCTGGAAATTTCCAGACATTTTTTCCCATTTCCAGACATTGTCTGGAAATGGCCGTTTTTTTCCAGACAATGTCTGGAAATGTCTACTTTTTCCAGATAATGTCTGGAAATGGTCAAATCCCAGATATATATCTGGAAAAAAAACGGCATTTCCAGACAATGTCTGGAAATAACATTTTCCAGATAACATCTGGAAATTTCCCAGATAATGTCTGGAAACAAAGGCCTTGACGCCGAGGTCCACGGATTTGCGACCTGGGGGTCCCCGATGGTGTCCTCGAGGTCCCCAGGACACGAGGAGTCCAACGCCGAGGTCGCCGACGCTCTAGGACAAGCGGTTCCGGAGATACGAGGACGTACCACAAGGAGTCCGTCAAAGCAACTTTTTAGTTGGAGGCCAAAATCATCATCGGCCTCTGGCTGCGTTCCACTTGGGTGTCCGGGACTTTTCACTTCAGCATCGTGTTGAGGTAGTGCTAGACTACTAGGAACCCGTCAGAGGTCGCCGTCGGACCACCGGTGCGCCCAGGATGCCGACGAACGTGGCTGCTGTGCCGCCACACGGTTCAACACCGTTGTCGCCACCACCCAGGTGGTTCCCTATGGTGTCCTCGAGGTCCCCAGGACACGAGGAGTCCAACGCCGGGGTCGCCGACGCTCTAGGACAAGCGGTTCCGGAGATACGAGGACGTACCACAAGGAGTCCGTCAAAGCAACTTTTTAGTTGGAGGCCAAAATCATCATCGGCCTCTGGCTGCGTTCCACTTGGGTGTCCGGGACTTTTGACTTCAGCATCGTGTTAAGGTAGTGCTAGACTACCAGGAACCCGTCAGGGGTCGCCGTCGGACCAACGGTGCACCGAGGATGCCGACGAACGTGAGGCACGCCGGAGCGCCGTGGCGTGCCGGGTGCCTAAACGATCGTCGCCACTGCTGTGGCCGCTGCCGCCGCGGCCGCTGCCGCCGGGTCCTCCGCACCAACCGCGAGCTTGGACGACGGAGGCCGACGCCGTTGGCACCGACGCCGCCGACGTGTACGTCGACGCCACCACATTGGCCTCTGGCATTGGCCTCCGGCTGCGCGGCCGTTCGAGCACGCGGCGTCGGCCGTCAGGGCACTCCGCGTCGGTGCCGACGGCGTCGTCTCTGGCCGTCCAAGCACACGGTGGCGACGCAGGACACGCCGGCGGCATCAGCCGTCCGGGCACGCGGCAGCGTCGTCGGTCCTGGCCGTGGTGGCGTTGACAGACACGTCGGTGGCGTCGGCCCCCGTCGTCCAAGCTGTTGGTCGCGACGTAGGACACGGCGGCGGCGGCGGCGACGCGATCGTTGAGGCACCTTGCCCGCCACGTTCGTCGGCACCCTCGGCGCACCGGTAGTCCGACGGCGACCCCTGACTGGTAGCCCAGGTGCACCCTAACGCAGTGTTTAAGTCAAAAGTCCCGGACACCCAAGTGGAACGCAGACAGAGGCCGAAGCGGCCGTTAGAACACACTAACGGCCGACTAAGCACGTGGTGGCGTCGACGTGCACGTCGGCAGCGTCGGTGCCAGCGGCGTCGGCCTCCGTCGTCCAAGCTCGCGGTTGGTGCGGAGGACCCGGCCGCAGCGGCCGCAGCGGTGGCGACGATCGTTTAGGCACCCGGCACGCCACGGCGCTCCGGCGTGCCTCACGTTCGTCGGCATCCTGGGTGCACCGGTGGTCCGGCGGCGACCCCTGACGGGTTCCTGGTAGTCTACCACTACCTTAACACGATGCTGAAGTCAAAAGTCCCGGACACCCAAGTGGAACGCAGCCAGAGGCCGATGATGATTTTGGCCTCCAACTAAAAAGTTGCTTTGACGTACTCCTTGTGGTACGTCCTCGTATCTCCGGAACCGCTTGTCCTAGAGCGTCGGCGACCCCGGCGTTGGACTCCTCGTGTCCTGGGGACCTCGAGGACACCATAGGGGACCACCTGGGTGGTGGCGACAACGGTGTTGAACCGTGTGGCGGCACAGCAGCCACGTTCGTCGGCATCCTGGGCGCACCGGTGGTCCGACGGCGACCTCTGACGGGTTCCTGGTAGTCTAGCACTACCTTAACACGATGCTGAAGTGAAAAGTCCCGGACACCCAAGTGGAACGCAGCCAGAGGCCGATGATGATTTTGGCCTCCAACTAAAAAGTTGCTTTGACGTACTCCTTGTGGTACGTCCTCGTATCTCCGGAACCGCTTGTCCTAGAGCGTCGGCGACCCCGGCGTTGGACTCCTCGTGTCCTGGGGACCTCGAGGACACCATAGGGGACCACCTGGGTGGTGGCGACAACGGTGTTGAACCGTGTGGCGGCACAGCAGCCACGTTCGTCGGCATCCTGGGCGCACCGGTGGTCCGACGGCGACCTCTGACGGGTTCCTGGTAGTCTAGCACTACCTTAACACGATGCTGAAGTGAAAAGTCCCGGACACCCAAGTGGAACGCAGCCAGAGGCCGATGATGATTTTGGCCTCCAACTAAAAAGTTGCTTTGACGGACTCCTTGTGGTACGTCCTCGTATCTCCGGAACCGCTTGTGCTAGAGCGTCGGCGACCTCGGCGTTGGACTCCTCGTGTCCTGGGGACCTCGAGGACACCATCGGGGACCCCCAGGTCGCAAATCCGTGGACCTCGGCGTCAAGGCCTTTGTTTCCACACATTATCTGGGAAATTTCCAGATGTTATCTGGAAAATGTTATTTCCAGACATTGTCTGGAAATGCCGTTTTTTTTCCAGATATATATCTGGGATTTGACCATTTCCAGACATTATCTGGAAAAAGTAGACATTTCCAGACATTGTCTGGAAAAAAACGGCCGTTTCCAGACAATGTCTGGAAATGGGAAAAAATGTCTGGAAATTTCCAGACATCGGTTTCACCGTGCAGGCCCCAATTTTGATTAAGTCCTGAGTTATGAACGTTTACGTTAACCTTTAATTCTTCCGGATTCCCGTCACGCCCAACGTTAATATACCCACATTTCAGATAAACAATCCGAAGTACACGCAACAAAATCGCGTGCTTTAGTTCAAAGGTTGCGCCCCTCCAGCCTCAAGAAAAACTTACTGCCTCTGGCAACCGTTCCAGGACCACTATACGGCACGGATATTCCGTCACCTCTGAGCGACGTTGCTTTGAAACATCCGTCTTCCCGCGTGGGCCACACGATGCTCTCTATCCACTGAACGTAGGCAGAAACCCTGTAAAGAGAATACAGCTTCAGGAATCCTTACACTCTCAGTCTCGTTGACTTTTGTATCTCTTGCCATAAAGTTCTTTGTGCAAAGGTAATATGAACTATTTTCACTAAGCTGTGCACCATTTACTTCATTGTTTTATGAGTTTAGAGTCCATCAGACCTTACTTTTTGTCATTTACTTTCCAATTTCTACATGATATTGACAATTTCATTTTTAAAACGATAAAAATTGTGCATAGTTCAAGAGAAAAGAGTACATTTAACGGTTGCTCAAAAAACGTTAGAAGAAAGAGAAAAAAGTCCCAGGGATCCTTAACTTACCTCAGGGCATCATAACGTTATCATAAGAGTTAATGTTATTACCCTTAACTTCTAACATCTTTTCCAAAGGGAAGGATATTTTTTTATGTCTCGAATTTGTGTAGATATACTTTTGCGAGTACTTTCATAAGTCCGTACCCTTAACCTTTAGCGAACATTGTCTTATGTTACGTTATGGAAGCAGTGTTAGTTAAATGTTAAGTTAAGTTAAGGATCCCAGAAAAGTCCATGTAGGTCTAAGAGTGTGACTTTACTTTTTTTCTTTAAAAAAATACAGGTTATTTTACTAGCTTTCCGAATTTGCATGTAGAATCTTTTGAATGTACCAGCTTCGGTCCATAACCCTTAACCCTTAACCTTTAGCCAACATCGTATTATGTAACGTTATGAAAGCTGTGGTAAATGTCATGTTAAGGAGCCCTGGAAAGCGTAAAACCATCCATGGAATAAAGACTACACTCTCAGCACGTTACTAACATTTTTTTATCTGTGGGTACGTAGGCCTACTCTACAAATCAAAGAGTGTACATGGTACGCTCTAACTGGAGCATGCCTGCAAGCACGCTCTAACTAGCGCATGCCTGCCAAGCATGCACTTACTAGTGCATACATGCCATGTACACGCTAACTGAAGCATACATTTACTGCATAAGGGATAGGGAGTTTTCTGCATCAGGAAGCGCGTACATGGCATGTATGCACTAGTTAGTGCATGCTTGGCAGGCATGCGCTAGCTAGAGCGTGCTTGCAGGCATGCTCCAGTTAGAGCATACTATGTACACTCTTTGATTTGTAGAGTATTAGTTCAGGCAAAGAAAGTTTGACTTCTCGGCAAAATTATTGACGAAGGTGAATAAACATTACACTATTTGACAATTTCTAACCAGTTCTTTCAGAAATTAAACGTACATATTGTGTTTGTGCAAATTACTTGCATCTGACAAATGGAGCAACAAGTCAGTAACGTGCCCAGAGTGTAAAGAATGATAAAAGGCCGCCGCGCGCTTAGCTAGCAACACAAAAATCCCGGAAATTCAATGCCACACCGCGCTCTCAGACTGTTATTGAGACTTTTTATCATTGGTTAAGGAGTTTTTTTTTTAACACAGCGATAAAAAGTACAATTTCCTCAATATCTAAGTTAGATTTTGTTCTTGACACGGTAAAAGAGGTTCCTGGTTTTCCCAGGAACTCCCTGAAAATCGCATATGTCTCTACCATAGGCTTCCTGGGAAAAACAGGTACCGCTTTTACCGTGGAGATTAACTTGAAGTCAGTTTGCTATTGACAAAGAGTCAATACGCAATTTACTTTTTTTTTAAAGTTAATAACTGATAACAATTAACGGTTAAAAAAGGAAATACTACATGTTATTGCTGCTTTGAAAACTACGTCACACTGTTCGGGATTATTTTGTGAAATTACGATTAATTGTGTGTTAAATCTGTACCACGAACTGCTCGTAAATTTCAAAAACGATCTGATCATCCATCTTTTTTCGTCAATTTACAAAAATATTCTTAAACTTACAAACTTAATCCTCAAATTTTGGTCGTTTCAGGCATTTTTTCTTCCTATATAGTAAGGAAACAACGGCCGAAAACGCACTTTTTCAGACTTGCTTTTACAATCATACTTGTAAATTAACGATTTCACCTGTAAATTTAAGAGGCAGTTTGTAAAATGATGAACAGATTGTCAATTTACAATTTACTTTGTAAAAAAACAGTGCAGTTCGTGGTACAAATTTAAGAGGCAACTATTCTTAAAAATAAAACTTCATTTGTAAGAAAACAAGTTTACGCGTTTTAAAACGAGAATAGTCGTAAGATAACGATTTTATCAGTAAAACTACGATCTTTCGTCAGTAACATTAAGATTTCATCGTAAAATTACGAATTTATTCCTAAATTTATGAGTAAAGTTTGTCGAAAATATGACAATTGTTCATGTCATGAATCTTGTAGTTATTTTACGAATTATTATTTGTAAAATTACAACACTAATTGTTGGGATTACTGTTGTAAAATAACGACTTCTCTTAACAGTGCAGCAAAGGATAACAAGTCAATAATGGAGAAAGAAAAAGTCAAAACAAGTCTGAGAGTCCAACACCTATAAAACATCCGAAGCGAAATTAAACACCGATGCCAGCACACTTACAGATTTCAAAAAATTAAAAGAAAGAGCGGCAATATTTTAAAGCACCTGAGAGTCAAAAGTGATGGTTCGCCGGTCGAAAAGTGAGAAAAGTCAATCTCAATTCGAGAAACCATGAAAATTTCGCGCATTTCTTTTTTTTAATTGTATACGCTTGAGAGTGTTTAAACTTAACTGCAATGTAAGTAACATCCGTCTCTGAACCCGAGACGAGAACTCTAAAGTATGGGATTTCGAAAAGGTCGAAAAAATCACCCACAACTAAAGCAATTGCACCCCTCCTGGGTCACGGCACGGTTCGTGCGCAAGCGAGCGCCGGAAGGATAGGCAACCTTGCAAGCACGTGAGGAGAAGGGCCTGCCGACGCGCAGGCGTCTCGGTTCTTCGCGCCGGTGTATATTTCAGATTCTCCTCCTAGCAGCGGAAATAAGATAAGGTGCAGTTCTGCGCAGATTTTTCTTGGAAAAAGAAGTACGGTTTTCTTGCTTTTCATTCGTTGACAGGATTTGAGGTGTTAAGGAGAACCATTCGGTGTTGACTATACTTTAAAGTGCCGCTTTGAACGTTCGTTAACGTACAGCGATACTTGTACGTAAAGAAATGTTTGGAACACGCACAATACAAATAATGGTAAACACCTTATTTCCAGATACGGTAAGCACCGTTCTTTCAAGTACAGCAAATCCTTAGAATAAATCAACGGCGGAAACCATAAATTTTAGTCACAGTGGCACACGGTTACGGCTGGAGCTTCTCTGCCCATTCATTTTCGTTCCCCACAACTTAATTAATTTTAAGAATTAGCTCGAGAACATGAGCGAAATATTGGAATTTTACATGACCCAAATTGGCAAAAAATGGGAATTGCAAAACAAATGCTTCATGTGGAGTGTTCATGTGGAAGTGAAAAAATTTCTGTAACGCTTAGAGTGCAGAATACCCTACAAATCGAAGAGCGTACATTGTATGTTCTTCCTGGAGCATGCCTGAAAGCACGCACTAGATAGCGCATGCCTGCCAAGCATGCGCCAACTAGTGCATACATACCCATGCTCCCTATCAATAGCGGACTAGATGCTGCATGATATGCTTCAGTTACCGTGTACTTGGCATGAAAGAGCATGCTTGGCAGGCATGCGCTAGCCAAAGCGTGCTTGCAGGCATGCTCCAGGTAGAGCATGCAATGTGCGCTTTTCGATTTGTACAGTAGACAGTTCAAAACAGTTCGGCCCTGGTCTGGCCCGTTACTGACCTCGTGTAGATTGCGGGTTTGCCCAATCCGCATGGAGGACCAAAGGAAACAACTCCGACGATACGGTAGATACAGGTTGTAGTATGTCTTGGATCGGCACGGATCTGAAGGGGGCCTCCAGAGTCACCCTGAAAAACCAGGAAAGCAGCGATACAAATTGGCGACTGATACGACTTCAGTCTAAATGAAGGCAAGGGGAATACACCAGCCCACATCACAAAAATATGCAGCTTTTGCTGAATGCAATGGCCACGCACACGTACCTGGCACGTGTCCCGTCCATGCGAGCCACCTCCCGCACAAAGCTGTGATCCTATCAGCCCTCGGGGCAGCTGTTTCGGGTTCAACTCCAAGTTTGCTTTACAGTGTGCAAGATCACGCACAGTTAAGTTAACTTTTATCAAAGTTTCACTTCCTTCGCCACCTTAATATGGAAGTGAGAATTACATTATGAGTGAAATATGAGTGTGAGAAAAGTTAATGTCCATGCATTACTTTGTTTTCCTGTCTTTCAGTTTAACATTGCCAGTACAACAACGATCACTATCAAAAGCTTGCGAAGAATGCGTTCGCATTACAAACCGTTTGGTTTGCAGCTTACGAAGAGTTTGGCTTGATTGTATTACGAACTGATAGTTCGCAATTTTGCGCACAATGTGTTTGCAAGCGTTCGCAATACAAACAGCTTGGTCGCAAATTTGCGAAGCACTTTTTCGGAAGCTGCGAACTACTACTGATTTGCGATACGGATGCGTCCTTTGCATTGCGAACAAGTCGCAAGGAAAAAGAAGCCTTCGGTGTTAGGAGTCAGCTAAAATTTTCAAAGTGTACTTGCCGAAATCTGTGGCACCCCACCCAGTGGCGACTGCCTCGCTGCCGGTGACGTCCTCGTCCACGTCCGTGTGAAGGCAGGCAGGCCGCACGTCGTCCTGGTTTACCACTGCAGGGCGCGAGAGACGCAGCAACGCAATGTCGTGGTATTTCAGGGATGCGACGTACTCGGGGTGGACTATCACCGCCGCAATCTGTCAAGGGAAAGTCAGCTCGTTTTTCAACCCTGACTCTGATTTTACATGGAACTGAGATGATTCGGTTTATTGGCTGAGCGATAGCGAAGCCTGTTACTCCAGTGGGGTTGAAAAGTTTTGTCTGTCTGTCGGTCTGTCTGTCTGTCCGCACTACTCCTCCTGAACGGCTCGGCCGATCTCGGTAAGATTTTGCACACTTCTTAGGTATGTCCTTGGCTCGGCACACGCGAAATTTCACCATCCTAGCTCAACTGGTTCAGTTTTTATAAGCGAAAAACACCTAAAAAACGGCGAAAAATAGAGATTTCTGCAGATAGACCACTTCTGTCTTGGAGAAAGGGGGGTCTGGGGGGCGGAGCCCCCCAGCCTCGACAAGTACAAAAGTGACAAGGGTCAAGATCGTGTTATCTGTAGATAAAAAAACTCTATTTAGAATGTAGGGGGGTCTGGGGGCAGGCTAGCGCCGCAGGCCAAGGTAGGTACGCCAGGCGTGGATTGGAGGAACAGGCAGCGAGACATCGCGAAGCCTGTTACGACAAGACGCGGTCTGGCGTAAACCTACCTTGTTGGCTGAGCGATAGCGAAGCCTGTTACTCCAGTGGGGTTGAAAAGTTTTGTCTGTCGGTCTGTCTGTCTGTCTGTCCGCACTACTCCTCCTGAACGGCTCGGCCGATCTCGGTGAGATTTTGCACACTTCTTAGGTATGTCCTTGGCTCGGCTCACGCGAAATTTCACCATTCTAGCTCAACTGGTTCAGTTTTTATAGGCGAAAAACACCTAAAAAACGGCGAAAAATAGAGATTTCTGCAGATAGACCACTTCTGTCTTGGAGAAAGGGGGGGTCTGGGGGGCGGAGCTCCCCAGCTTTCAACAAGTTAAAAAATAACCGACAACGGACGAGCCATTGCCTGCCGCAGGCAGGCTAGCGCCGCAGGCCAAGGTAGGTACGCCAGGCGTGGATTGGAGGAACAGGCAGCGAGACATCGCGAAGCCTGTTACGACAAGACGCGGTCTGGCGTAAACCTGCGGCAGGCAATGGCTTGTCCATTGTCGGTTATTTTTAAACTTGTTGAATGCTGGGGGGCTCCGCCCCCCAGACCCCCCTACATTCTAAATAGTTTGTTTTATCTACAGATAACACGATCTTCACCCTTGTCACTTTTCAACTTGTCGAGGTGTTGACCCCCCTTGCTCCAATCCAGAAGTGATCTATCTGCAGAAAGCTCTATTTTTCGCCGTTTTTTAGGTGTTTTTCGGCTATAAAAACTGAACCAGTTGAGCTAGGATGGTGAAATTTCGCGTGTGCCGAGCCAAGGACATACCCAAGAAGTGTGCAAAATCTCACCGAGATCGGCCGAGCCGTTCAGGAGGAGTAGTGCGGACACACAGACAGACAGACGGACAGACAGACAGACAGACAGACAGGAAAAACTTTTCAACCCCACTGGAGTAACAGGCTTCGCTATCGCTCAGCCAATAATTGCACACAGTTTTATGGTCAAGCGCCAATGTAAAAAAAAAATTAAAAAATACGATTTCAAGAAATCCTAGGAGTCACGAAGTCAATTTGGGTAGCAGTGTGGGGAAAGCAAAAAAGTTATGTCAAAGGTAGGGAGTGGCTCAAGGGTGGCTACGAACGGCAGTGGTACCAATGTGGTCGATGTGCCACCCGTCAAAATTTAACCTTGGCAATAAAGAGAAATCAAAATGCCGGGAAATTCGAAAAATTCCAATGCTAATGTATTTCACAGTGATCTGACAAAGGAACATCTTTGAAGTCCATCATTATGAAAATTTTGGTAGCAGTAAGAAGGCAGTAAATTAATTTTCGCGGGTTGGCAACAGTTTTGTCGGCGTCTGCGCCCTTGCGAAAATCGCGAAGCTGAAAACACGAGTATAGTCGCGCATTAAAACTGCCCCTCCATTGTTGCTGACGTTGAATTGTTTGGCTTGTTTCAAAAGGCTACGGTTCTCTAGTCATGTTTTCTGCAATTCTGTGTAATAGTTCTCACTCACAACGTAGCAACACCACGACGGTTGGCTTGACAAACTTTTTAAACTCGAGAGGGATGGTCTCGAAACGCGGGTGAGTCTTGTTCGAGGAACATGAGCACTGAAAGTCGCGAGGTGGAGCGAAGTGATCATGGTGCTAACTGAATCAGAAGTACCATCAAACCTGGCTAAAAGGAGCAGCTACATGACCAGCTTATTCAAAAAGAGACTAAAAGTCTTAAAGCGACTCTTAAACTACATTAAGGAAAGATAATTCACAGATGCATGTGCACAGGTACGCAGTTAAATGGCTCAATTCACTCCGATTTGAAGAGCAACAAAAATTTTCAACAAAACAACAACAAAAACAACAACGCAGCGGTGCGGGATTGGTGCGGGACACTCTCATAAAAAGTCACTGGCCGGCCGGCCGATCCAAATGGCCACGTTCGAAACGACACCAATTCTATTGTTGCATCTTGTCTACCTGCAGTCAAAGAAATTTTTCATTTCGAACGTGCTATTTCAGCTTTTGGAGTAAGCTGTACAGACCCAAAAAGAAGCTCCGCTATTGGTCCGGCTCAGCTCGGCTCCCCCCACTCCCCTTTTTTAAGGGTTCCGACGAAGGAGGACCCCTATTGCCCGGGGCTCAGAATTCTTCTTCTACGGACCCCCCACGATGGACATTTCGCTCCCGCCATATTAATCCTTTTCATAATACAATAAAAAGTTCAGAAAATCTAAAAAATTTATCGTGGAAATTTTCCGTAAACGACTAAAACATAAATTTGCAACAATCAAGCACCCTTATCCGTTCACATTTTCCAGAAACGTTTCGAAGAAAAAATGTGCCACTCCTCAAAACTAAACTTCCTGCCTCATCAAAGTGACAAAAACTAATCACTGTTCTAAGAAAATGATAAAAACATGAAGAAAAAGTCTCCATGACAACGTCTCACTGCCATCGTACCAACTGTCAAAATTTTAAGTCCCTGATAAAAAGAAATGAAAACGCCGTAAAATTCGAAAATGCCAATGTTCACTCATTGCACACTGACAAGACATTTAAACATCATTCAAATCTGTCATTAGTAAAAGGTTCGCAGCAGAAAAGACAGAATAAATAGATTTTCGGGGGTTGGCAACAATTTTCCCGGCGTCTGCGCCCTTTCGAAAATCGCGAGGCTGAAAAAAACAAGTAGTCGCACATTGAAACTGCCTCTCCATTGTTGCTGAGGTTGGGTTGTTTGGCTTGCTTTTAAAGGCTGCGGTTCTCTCTCAGCCCCAAAATATAAAATTTACTCCCTTCTTCGTATTTCTAACTTCAAATCTTCTTTCATTAACTTACATTATTTCCACAACCGGAACACCGTGCAATGCGTAAGCATTGGAATTTTTTCCTTTGACGAGTCGAGTTTTGCCATGGCAAGGCGATTTTGACAGCAAATTTCTCAAAATTGGCCACCAAATTTTGAACCAGATTTCAGCATCAGAATCAGCGTTCAAAGTTTCAAAGTTCTACAAGTCTGCAAAATCTCATTAAAATCGTATAGAAAATTTCCGAAATGCATAAAGGGCCACACAAATCGAATCTCGGGCCGGCTGAATCCTGGGTACACTCTACCAAAAATGTCCTGTAAATGCTGTTAATTTATTACCAGTTTTCACTGTAGGTCAATTCACAGCGTTTACTGTGATCTGCTCACGGGATTCACTGTGATCTTGTTCACGGTGTTCACTGTGATCTGGTCCCCAGTAAACACTGTGAGTTTGACGCCGCTGAGCACCGACGTACTGCAAATCAGGCTCCAATTCACGGCGTTTACTGTGGCCAGATCACAGTGAACACTGTAACCGAGATCACAGTGAACGCCGTGAACTAGTTCACAGCAAACGCCGTGAATTGCATAACAGCAAACATTGGTAATAAATTAACGGCGTTGACAGGACATTTTTTGTAGAGTGTATACTACACTCCCGACAAAAATTAGCGGAACGCTTTTTGTCATCGTAATATTTTCTAAGTCTTTCGAGCTAGGAAGCTGAAATTTTGTACACGGGTGCCCCTACTACTTCCCTCGAGGCCTGCGAAGTGCGTAGCCCGTGCGCCTCCCCTGACGGACGGCACCCACCCCTAAGTGCGCGAGGGTGAAAAAAACGATGAAAACGTCCCGTAAGAACCAACTTTACCTTATCGCAGAGGCCAAAGTTTTCGTGTACGAGGTCAAATGAGTCTCCTCTTTCCAACGATGCAAGCGGAATTCAATTTGAACCAACCCACCCCCGGCTGCACTCACCCCCACCCCCTCGAGGGGATGGATTTCGAGCATGTTTGAATTTCGCGCAAAACAGCGTCGGGGCGTCCCCCGTACCAAGCAATCATGTTTCTTCGACGTTCCAACCACCCTCGGGTGAATCATCCCCCGGAAAGTCCCACCCCCTTTCGAACACCGGCCGTCCGGGGCCTTTCGGTTTGAGCAAAATGCAACAAAACTCCAGGGGGCATTCCTCCAGTGTCCAAGAAGACGTCTCAGCGAAGAAACGCGGTGCCGGACGACTGCAACCCCTGCGGTCGGGGTGTTCACCCCCTTGCACCCCTGCACGCCCCTGGAGCGGTTGGAAGCCCTCCGACGAGCGGGCTGGTCGAACAAGACATGGGGGAAGCGATCCTGAAGTTTTCAAGACGATCCCACCAACCGTTCGTCTTCCAGAGCGAAAAAAGCGTCATTTCCAGTAAAAACCACCCCTCACTTCACTCCCTTCCAGCGACTCACTGAGTGGGGGTAGCAGTCCCAACCAACGTCACAACACTCGGCCCAGACCTCATTACAAAGGCCTCCAAGTTTCAGACTGATGCGACAAAGTATGGGACCGTGGGAGCGACGCAACGATGTGCCTGCACTCGGTGGCAACGGACGCGCTGGCCCGTCGGGTCCATGCGCCGTGCAGGTAGGCAAGCCAACTCACCTGGCGCCAAGTTGATTAAAAGCCAATTGGAAGCCTGATTATGGCTCGCGCGTCACCACGCTTCAGCACTGTGGGCAGGGCATGTCTCCCAACATGCCACAGTGGCTAACCAGCCAAAATCAGGCTTCCAAATGGCTTTTAATCAACTTGGCGCCAGGTGAGTTGGCTTGCCTACCTGCACGGTGCATGGACCCGACGGGCCAGCGCGTCCGTTGCCGCCGAGTGCAGGCACATCGTTGCGTCGCTCCCACGGTCCCATGCTTTGTCGCATCAGTCTGAAACTTGGAGGCCTTTGAAATGAGGTCTGGACCTAGAGATGTGACGTTGTTTGGGACTGCTACCCCCACTCAGTGAGTCGCTGGAAGGGAGTGAAGTGAGGGGTGGTTTTTACTGGAAATGACGCTTTTTTCGCTCTGGAAGACGAACGGTTGGTGGGATCGTCTTGCAAACTTCAGGATCGCTTCCCCCATGTCTTGTTCGACCAGCCCGCTCGTCGGAGGGCTTCCAACCGCTCCAGGGGCGTGCAGGGGTGCAAGGGGGTGAACACCCCGACCGCAGGGGTTGCAGTCGTCCGGCACCGCGTTTCTTCGCTGAGACGTCTTCTTGGACACTGGAGGAATGCCCCCTGGAGTTTTGTTGCATTTTGCTCAAACCGAAAGGCCCCGGACGGCCGGTGTTCGAAAGGGGGTGGGACTTTCCGGGGGATGATTCACCCGAGGGTGGTTGGAACGTCGAAGAAACATGATTGCTTGGTACGGGGGACGCCCCGACGCTGTTTTGCGCGAAATTCAAACATGCTCGAAATCCATCCCCTCGAGGGGGTGGGGGTGAGTGCAGCCGGGGGTGGGTTGGTTCAAATTGAATTCCGCTTGCATCGTTGGAAAGAGGAGACTCATTTGACCTCGTACACGAAAACTTTGGCCTCTGCGATAAGGTAAAGTTGGTTCTTACGGGACGTTTTCATCGTTTTTTTCACCCTCGCGCACTTAGGGGTGGGTGCCGTCCGTCAGGGGAGGCGCACGGGCTACGCACTTCGCAGGCCTCGAGGGAAGTAGTAGGGGCACCCGTGTACAAAATTTCAGCTTCCTAGCTCGAAAGACTTAGAAAATATTACGATGACAAAAAGCGTTCCGCTAATTTTTGTCGGGAGTGTATAAGGCTACTTCGTGCCTAAAAAAGCAAAAACATTAAAACGCGATAAAGCTTATGTACACTGCAAATCCAAGTCTGGAACAGTTTCACTGCGCTTAGCGTGAACTTAATTGTCTGAACCTTGCAAAAGTGAGCCACGTTTATCTTAAATTTGCAAAGGTGAGACATAGGCCTAGCTTGTCACACTTGCTGCCAATTTCGCCCTGTAGTTCATTGCCGAGTCTCACACTTCACTGTTAAAAAAAATTACTGAAAATTCATAATTTTTTGTAAGAAGTCGATTTACTTACATTCAGTCTGAATTTTCATACCAAAACTTTCATACGTCGCGGTCTGAAAGTTTCAGACGATGTTAGTCTGAATTTTCAGATCAACATGTTGTATGAAAAATGATACCAGTCGGTCTATTTTATCAGACTAAGTTGTACGAAGACATTGAACAGTCGCACTAAAAATGCCACTCTGTAGAGTAGAGCACAAATCGGCGAACTTCTACCATCGGTTTATCGCAGACGCTCAGCGGATCGTCTCAGCTCAAAAATCAGGTACACAGCAGCAGGCTCCTATTGGCACAGGTAGTGAAGAGGCTAGAGGTGACTGCTGAATTGCGAGGGAGAGCGGCCTTAGCCCAACCACGCGCCGACCCGTGGCCATGCGCGAGAGTGAAATTGTATTCTTTGTTATTTAGGTTATACTGCACTTATTGGCTGAGCGATAGCGAAGCCTGATACTCCATTGGGGTTGAAAAGTTTTTCCTGTCTGTCTGTGTGTGTGTGTGTGTGTGTGTGTGTGTGTCCGCACTACTCCTCCTGAACGGCTCGGCCGATCTCGGTGAGATTTTGCACACTTTTTGGGCATGTCCTTGGCTCGGCACACGCGAAATTTCACTATCCTAGCTCAACTGGTTCAGTTTTTATAGCCGAAAAACACCTAAAAAACGGCGAAAAATCGAGTTTTCTGCAGGCAGATCACTTCTGTCTTGAAGAAGGGGGGTCTGGGGGGCGGAGCCCCCCAGCCTCGACAAGTTGAAAAGTTACAAGGGATCTAGAATGAAGGGGGGACTGGGGGGCGGAGCCCCCCAGCATGCACCAAGTTAGAAGAGGGATCTAGAATGAAGGGGGGACTGGGGGGCGGAGCCCCCCAGCATGCACCAAGTTAGAAGTAACCGACGATGGACAAGCCATTGCCTGCCGAAGGCAGGCTAGCGCCGCAGGCCAAGGTAGGTACGCCAGGCGCGGATTGGAAGAACAGGCAGCGAGACATCGCGAAGCCTGTTACGACAAGACGCGGTCTGGCGTAAACCTACCTTGTTAACCTGAATCTTGCTTTGGTGCGCTCATGCCCTTTCAGACAATCACTTGGAATAAGTTTGTAACAAAATATTCGCAATTTCGCCTTCAAGTGGCAATTTTAGCTCCAAAAGATCATCCATGCGACACTAGCGCCACCTAGCGGATAGAGCAATAAGTGTCCATTTCGGAGCTCTGAAACATTCTCTATGCTTTTACGACACTAAACGTAAATATTATTTGAAATACAACAGTAGTTTTGATAAAAGTTCTGAGAAAATACTTCTGTGTACTTGGAAGCATGCTCTAATAAGAGTGTACTATGTACACACTTCAGTTTGCAGACACGAAAAACGTGTATTCACTGAAAATCAAATAGTGATACATCTCACTCTCTGAGGGGTGAGACACAACTGTCTCACCGAAAAAGGGTTGTACACAAATGTATCACCGAAAAAAGGGTGATACTTCTCCAGGAAAACAAGGACCAATCTCGCTGATGTCTCACCTTTTTATCGGTCATACATTTGTTTACGATCTTTATTTCGGTGATACGTGCGTGTACGACCATTTTTTCGGTGATACATTCGTGTACGACCTTTTTTTCGGTGATACATTTTGTATCGCCGAAAATTGGTCAGATGTCTCACCCGTTGAATTACAGTGTTACGCGTAACACACTTTGAGTTATGGAGTCAGTCTCCAATGGACCTTACAGTATTCTACACTGTGAGAAAAAAGTACGGAAAAAGTACGGAACATGTCTGGTCAATAATTTGCCTAGACCGTCCGTACTTGCCAACAACGGAACGTTCCGTACTTTTTTTCCGCACCCACTTACATGGTTCATATAGAGCAAGTACGGAACGTTCCGTACTTTTTCCGTACCTCTTTTTCTGTACCATTTCCGTACAAAAGCACAGATTTTTAACAGTGTACGTAGAACCTTACAGTTTTCTGGGAGGCTATTTAGTCCTACGGGGAACACTGTAAGGCCCTGCGGAGAATACTGTGACGCCCAGCGGAGAATACCAAAAGGTCCTATCACGGTCGTACGGAGAACTATCACAAGTGGCTTACAGAATTGTTCGTAGCTTTATCCCACTGTGTAGGTCAGGACAGCGTCTGAAAACAACATATCGCCTTTTCATTAACATGTTCACTTGTACCTCAATGAGCTGGTGGGTGTCGTTCACTTTCGGCTTCTCACTAGTCCGGTTTGTGGCTCCCAACAAGGCCCATCTCACTGGAAGCCTGCGCATACAAAAGCAAAAGGGGAATGAAAGCTGTTCTGAAGAACATATTGCGATACACGATAAATCAATTTCCGGGAAATCACAGAAAATGATTTTACTGTGTAGTGGGCTGAGAGTGCAAATACTTATCGTAAACCAATAGTAATGCACTCTAAATGTCTTACGAAGAAATTTCCCATAATACGAAGGAAATGGCGCAAGCATAATACGAAGGTGGTTTTCCTTCGTATTACGAAGGTTTTTCTTTGTATCTTACAATGAAAAAGCTAAAAAGATTCGTATTACGAAGGAATATTGCTTTGTATTATGCTTGCGCCGAATTCACTGTAACATACGAATAACATAGGTCAAATTTCATTGTAAGACATTTAGAGTGTGGACTTGTGAATACAAAGCCCCAGAAAGAAATATTACATAAGGGTTTGCACTGTCACCCCCCCCCCTCACACACACCAGGGGGTGGCAACGCTGTACACGTATGCTGACGCCATGTTCGACCCCCCCTTAAATCATGGTTCTTTTCAAGGAGATACTCTCTGAACCCAGCAAAGGAATCGAATGAAACTTCAGTGCGGCATCAAGTTAAAAGGCCATATTAAAGTAATAATCAAACGAGAGCACACTTAGGATCAATTCACTCCTTGAAACCGCATCGCGAAAACAAGAGAAAAATTGGGTTTTGTTAAAATCGCTACAAGAAAAGTGTCTACTTATATTTTCAAAACGTTAATCTTGGAAAGTTTTTGGGTTTTTGAGTTGAAACCTGGCTTAAACACTTCCTCAATTCATATATTATCGTAATAACAAAACAGCTTGGCTCTAATGGACTTAGTACTTTGGATCTCGTCGAAGTAAACTAATGTGCTAGGGGGGGCCGAACATGGCGTCAAGAAAGATGCAGGGCGTTGCCACCCCCTGCACACACCCAAAAAAAAAGAGAACAGTAGAAAACAATTTTACTTACGCGGCCAAACGTGCGCAGTGGGCGGCCGTGAGGACAAAACTGGGTGAAATAAGGGATCCTCCGCAAGAGTACTCGATGTTGTCTCGGTCCCCGTACCCTAGCAGAGCCTTAAACACACAGGAAAAAGAATTCGTTCGGAGCCCCTTCACTGCAAATCTGCACTCTTAAAACCTTACGAAGTATTTTGAGCATACGTATAACAAAGTAAAATACTTTGTTATACGAAGAAATAGTTCGTTAATTACGAAGTATTTTCTTTGTAAGCTTACGTATGCGCAAAATACTTCGTTATACAAATTACTTTTCTTTGTAAGGCCCAAAATAGTTTGTAAGGTTTTCTCAGTGCAGTGGCTAGTTTTCTGGCCAATGGAGTGGCGCTCTCTCCTGCTCGCCAATATTTGGCTTTCCAAAAAATGCAAAAATTTGGCTTGAAAGGCATTACTTGTTCACAAAAAAAGTAAATGTGCATGCAATAGTTTCCAGTGCGAAGGATCCCTAGTTCAAATCACAGCAATTAAACGATGAAACGTAGGGCTGGACCAGTACAACACAAGGTAATGGACACAATAGTAACAATTCAAACGCTTCGCTTGTCCAACGGTAGCCATGTTTACTGATTTTGTTGTTTTGCTCTTGTTGACTGCTTATGCGTCGTAACCTCGTAAGTGCAAATAACATCTCAATGTGAATCTGAATCTAGCTGCTTTCACTCCAACTGTTTTTGACGAGCTGGAGAAAGCGCTACTCCAATGGCGAGGAAAATTGCCACTGGATTTGCAGTGTTGCTTAAGGAGACATTTATTTGATAGCTTATTTGATGAGCAGGAGGCCGGAGGATTACCACTAGACGTCATAGGACATTTTTGTCGGTCCTACGAGCTGTGAAATTTCAAGCTAATGCGACACAAGTTGATTCGCATCCGGAACCCCATTATGTTCGAAACCCACTGCAAATTGTGCTTTGATTATAGGCAATTTGCATCGCTTCGCTCTATAATGTATCACCGTCGGATGTGCAAATATGACATGTGACACAAGGAGTCCCTGCTGTGTTGGTTGGCTTAAGTCGGTGTTTGTTAGATCGCACTGTTTACAACGGTAACGTCACGTTCGTCTGAGTATCAGGTCACATTCGTTTGAACGTGGCTGATGACTCTTAAAAGCCAGTTAAATTCGTTTGAGTGTGCATCAACGTTAAAACGAATGCGTGACACCGTATTAAAAGGAACGGGACACGATCTACACGTGTCGGCAGGGATCCAATTGTAACGAGAGCCTTGGGGAGGCCAAAGCTTGTCAAGCAGCCCCCCCCCCCAATTCCACCTACAATTTTCATTTGAGACAACCTACTGAAATCAATAAAAAAGGGATAACTATTCCTGTTAAAAGTATGTTTGAAAATACGCTTTTGAAAGCTAAAATAGACATCAATCGCTCGACAGGGAAGTTTCGAATCCAATTTTCGTCTGAACTCAAAGATGGGTGGTACACCCGAGGAATTTCGACCCGGTAGAAGAACTAAAACCGAAGTCTCAAATGACAGTTTCTTTGAGAAGTGCACTCGGCGCGTGAAGTCTGGACCTCATGCCGTGCCAACTTATTTATTTCTTAATCACAGGTTATTTATTTGCTTCTTGTCTACAAAACTCCCTCTCTTTTTACTTTTGAACAGGCAGAGTTATTGTTACAAGGTAGGTTTACGCCAGACCGCGTCTTGTCGTACCAGGCTTCGCGATGTCTCGCTGCCTGTTTCTCCAATCCGCGCCTGGCGTACCAACCTTGGCCTGCGGCGCTAGCCTCAGCTTGCCTTCGGCAGGCGGCATTCCCCTGAAGTTGGCCAACACAGTTGCCCCAAAAAATCTGAAACAAGTGTCAAAAAATCACAAATCATTTGTTCCAACTTGTTCCACATTTGTTCCAATTTGTTCCGTAATACAGCAGTCGTCAGCCGGATTATCGTAAAACGATAACAGAACGGCCAACTTCACATACTGCACATCTCGACGAAAAGTGCTCACGGCTGTTCAAAATGACTTGCTGAACGTTGTTCCAAGTTTGTTCCAGCTTTGCTTTCACAAAATCCCGAAAGAATAGCGCCATTCGTTTCTAAGGGTTCGGCTAATTTCCCTAGATATTAAAATGAGTGAAATTGGCTTGTGACCACCCAATTTGATGTAAAATCTTTTGTTCCGGTTGTTCTAAGTTTGTTCCGACTCTATTTTTACAACCCCCGGGAAAGAATAGCGCTATTTGTCTCTAAGGGCACGGCTAACTTCCTAGACCATGAAATGAGCATATTTGACCTGTGTTTAAGGGGGGCCCCTGGTGAAACTTTCAAGTAGGCTTAAAAATAACCCCAGGAAGTTGAAACTTGCTTAATTTTTAGGTTCATTATGGTGAGTTCCCAAAACAAAATTCAATCCAAAATATTGAACGGTCTCTGAGAAAAGTGGCTTTTTTTTTTTTTGGAGCTTTGGGGGAAAAAATCTTCCTGCGTCTTTCATTGGGACGGAAAGCCTTAAAAATTTTTTTTGGGTTATCCTAAAGATGTATAGAAGAGTTTTTAGTGACGGAATTTTCAAATTCAACTTCTGTCCTGAGATATAAGTTTTCAAATTTTAACTTTAAAAAAAAAAGTGTTTTTTTTCCCCTTTTTTCAAACTTTAGGTGTTTTTTAAAAAAAGTAGGGCTGGTATCAAGATTCCGTCACAAAAATTTGTCGACAAGTCTTTAATGAATAGAGTCCATGCAAGACGACTCATGTAGGTGTCAACCAGGAACGCAGGAAGTCTTTCTACGACAAAAATTTTTTTTCGACTGAGCAAAACTGTGAAGTTGAGCGTAGAAGCCAACGACAACTGATCTCAATGTTATTTCCTTCCAAATGATAAAGAAACTACTCACTTAGCTTAAAGGTGTTCAAACCCGTTTAATCTGAAACCTTCTATGCACTTTTTTATCTATGAACTTTTAAAATACAATTTATTGGAATTTTGGCGATTTTTTTACCAGGGTCCCCCCCTTTAAACCCCAAATTTTACGTGAAATCGTTTGTTCCATGTTGTCCTGTGTTTGTTCCGTGTCGTTGACCTGGTCTTAGGGGTTCTATGGAACAGTCCGAGGGTGTTCGGACTGATCTGGACCGATTTCGACCAGGTTTCGGAACATTTCGCTCTTATGTGGGGTTGTTCCAACTTTGTTTAAATAACACCCGGACAGAGTAGCGCTATTTAAATTAAAGGGGCCCGGGTAACTTCCCAGATAAATAAATGCGCATATTTGACGTGTGACCACCTATATTGAATGTGAAATTGTTAGTTCCGTGTTGTTCAAAGTTTGTTCTACCCATGTTTCAATGATACCCCGACAGAATAGCGCTTTTTTTCTCTGAGTTCTGCGAACCTTCTAGATAGAAAATGTGTATTTTAACTTCTGACCACCCCCATCTGATGTGAAATGGTTTGTTTTTTGTTGTTTTAAGTTTGTTCCAAGTATGCCCCGGCGTTTTTCTGGGCGTGCTGAACGCATTGTAATGCGTTCATACTGCGTTCACGTGCATTCCCGTGCGTTCTGCTGCGTTCCAATTGCATTCACGTGCATGCCGGAACGCATTGCCACGGAACACACAAGGAACGCATTGCGAACACACTCCCTTTTGCGTTCCAAGTGCGCTCCAGAACACACTTTCTTCGTGCGTTCCCCCGAGCTCCGGAAGCACAGGGAGTGCACTCGGTCGCGTTTTGGATCGCACACATGTGCGTTCCGGAACGCATGGCGGCAACGCGTTCCCAATGCGTTGCTTCTGCGGTGCAGAACGAAGTCGGACTTTACGCTCCTTTACCTGACGCTCCTTCCCCTCCACGTTCACTGCTCAATGACTTGTCATCCTGCACGTCAGGAAGATTGTGCACAGCTACAGCTACCCTGTGCACAACCACCCGAACCACCACGGAAAACCCGAGGCCCAAAATTGATGAACTACCTTTGAAAACCCCATGAACTCATGCCAAAGCGAGTCGGTTGCTTCGCTAAAAACATAACGGGTTTGCAACCCGGGACGCTCTTACTGATGTTGTATTATTTTAATTGTCCGGGCGATCGTTTCATCTGAATGCACTACAAACTTTAAATGTCTTTTCCAAGTACACACTTACAAATGCATGCTTGGCAAGTACGAACTTGCCAATGCCTATGCTTAGCATAAAGTTATACGGCGCCAAGCATGCGTTTAGAAGTGTGTACTTGCAAGCATGCATTTGTAAGTGTGTACTTAGTAGACAGTTAGGTTTGTAGTGTGTTGTCGATGTGTGCATATCGGGTCCGTTCACAAACTATTTTGATCAATCATACACTCTAAAAAAAGTTACAGAATTTTGTATCATTTTTGATGCAGGATTTTGTATCACCTGCTTTGGTTACAAATATTTGTAAAGGTGATATATTTATGATATATTTATGATATATTTATGATATGATATATTTATGATATATATATTTATATATATTTATGATTTATTATCTAGGAAGTTAGCCGTGCCCTCAATGACAAATAGCGCTTTTCTCTCCGGGCATCATTAAAACATAGTTGGAACAAACATGGAACAGCACGAAACAAACGATTTCAAGACAAATTTTGGTGGTCACAAGTCAATTTGGCTCATTTTATTATCTAGGAAGTTAGCCGTGCCCTTAGAGACAAATAGCGCTTTTCTCTCCCGGCATCATTAAAACATAGTTGGAACAAACATGGAACAACACAAACAAACGATTTCAAGACAAATTTTGGTGATAAGAAGTCAATTTGTCTCATTTTATTATCTAGGAAGATAGCCGTGCCTTTAAAGACAAATAGAGCTTTTCTCTCCGGGCATCATTAAAACATAGTTGGAACAAACTTGGAACAACACGGAACAAACAATTTCACGTCATATTTTGGCGGTCACAAGTCAATTTGGGTCATTTTATTATGTAGGAAGTTAGCCGAGCCCTTAGAGACATAAAGCGCTACTTTTTAATGGGTGACATTAAAACATAGTTGGAACAAACTTGGAACAACACAGAACAAACAATTTCACGTCATATTTTGGCGGTCACAAGTCAATTTGGCTCATTTTATTATGTAGGAAGTTAGCCGTGCCCTTTAAGACAAATAGAGCTTTTCTCTCCGGGCATCATGGAAACAGAGTTGGAACAAACTTGGAACAACACGAAACAAACGATTTCACATAAAATTTTGGCGGTCACAAGTTAATAATACTCATTTTATTATCTAGGAAGTTAGCCGAGCCCTTAAAGACAAATAGCGCTTTTCTCTCCGGGCATCATTAAAACATAGTTGGAACAAACAGGAACA